TATGTTGTCACTGTCCTCCCCCTATGCTTACTCTTATTACCAAGACAGCATAGTTTTATTGGTATGGTCAAAACAGGTATGTTGTGCTATCATGCCCAACTTAACATGGGGGAATCCTTCCTCCCAGGCACGTGGAATATTGGCTGCCTTTCTTCTGAACTTCATCCTGTAGTTTAATATCCTGCACAAATAGTACAACTTCTGAGCTTTACAAACTGAAAACAAAGCATTGCTTTAGGAATTAATCCTAAGAGCTGTGGTGGTAAGTAAGCCTGTTTAGAATAAGCAAAGTAATGAACAGATGGTGTGCTCTTTGATAGATGTTCAGGCAGTGTTTACTTCTGATTGTGAGTAGTAAGATGTATTTAAAGGCTGTGTAAACAGAATACAAAATTCAGAGTGAAGAAGTCTAAAATTTACTTCTTATGGTACTGATTTATCAGTGTCAGATATGTTAAATGTGGGCTAGAAATTATGTATTGTTTGTGCTTGCAGTTGTCTTGATTTGGAGGTGAGCGTATAATTTTCCAGGAATTCTTTAACAATGCACTTGACTTATACTTGTTCTCCCAAAAAAAATGGAACAAACTCCATTGAAACAGACACACAGTTTTATGGATTTAGTTTAAGTGTTCTTGTAAAGATGTAAGATGTTCTCTGCTCCTTTTTAAGTAAAAGAGTTAGTTAGCAACCAAAGATCGAGTGCTTTTAGGCAAGTACTTGTTTCACAAGAAATGCTTTCAACCTTACAAAGTTGGTTTGTATATAAACAAACTCCTCCATGCATTTCAGTCTGGTTACTTGTGAAATCTCAGTTTTGTTCACTGTCTGAAACGTGTCCTTTTCGACTTTCTCACCAATTTTCCTCCTGCAGGGTGATGAAGCTGGAAAGTCTGCTGGCTTTAGATCACAGTAACACATTTGTGTATCTCATCCCATCCCAGTCTAAACTGGATATTTACCTAGGAGTATGTAGAAATGGGAATTAGGTTGAATTATGTCACGCTGAAAACCATATAGCTATTCATGTAAGTATCCTGGTAGACCTTGACCATGCCTGACACCTAGGGCAAAGGGTGTCTCCATCTCCAGAATGGCAAGTGTGGATTGCTCGAAGACTGCAGTGGGGGAAAAAAAAGTATCTTAATCAAAGAGGGTGTTCATTAATTAAAGAGGGTATTAATTCTTGAAGAGAAATAACAAGGTACTATGGATCCTTAATTTTATGTCCACCTTCTCCTCAAGTCTGCCATGCCTAAGGTTCTGACACCGGCAATCTGTGAAGCTCTCCTTCCTAAGGAGCAGCCTTGTGTCCATTTTGACATATTGCCCTTTAATCTGGATTAATTGGCCGCCTTGGCTGAAGAGCAGGTAGTCAGTTGGTAGCACCTTGTCTTATCGGGGATTCTTTTAAAGGGGAATTAGTAAGAGCAGCTAGCTGCATCCACGGATGTGTTTCAGGCTTCGCATTAGTACTGTGTGCACTCCATGCCTCCTTTTAAGCCTGCATGACTTCCTAATTGAACTGTAAATGCAAGTTTGAGTCTATAAGGTGAGTTTTGGGGTGCGTTGGTTGTTTTTGTGTTGTTTCTGGTGGTGGGTTTTGTTTATTTCTGCTTTGTTTGCATTTATGGCATTAGCTTTTGTCTGAAATGGAAGCTGAGGAATTCTGGGAGCGCTGATATAATGTGTTGCTACCAGTAATGTGTTTATTGTCTGTCTTCCTAATCCATTATTGTTGGGCTCTGCTGCTTTTTGAGCTAACATTGCATTCACTGTGCTCATAACAATAGATCTTTTATTACCGAGCATGTCCTTGAAAACGTAAATAGGAAAGTATACTAATATATCTCTGCTCAAAACTTTGTCTGAATATCAGAAGAGGTCGAATAGAGATGCACAGAGCAGGGAGCACAGAACTTCAGTCTTGCAGTGCAGGCTCTGGCTTAGCTTGAAAAACGTCCTGCAAGGACAACATTGGTCGGAGTCTAGCAAGAATTTTTAATATCATTTGGAAGCAGTTGATCTGGTGCCAAACACCAACGTTGCCATACTTAAAAATTGAATCTGAGGCTCTTAGGCTGTCAGATGAGGGTTTTTTTTGTTTGTTTTTTGTTTTGCATAACCTTGAGGAAAGCAGGCAATGACTTCCATTTTCTTTCATATTTGGGAATGATCAGAAGTATCCTTTCAGGCAGTATGTAATTCAGTTGTGAACACAGCACCTTTTTTATTACTTTTATACAGACCTCTGAGGCTCTTTAAGGACATACAAAAGCTGTGCTGTACCAAGGACAGCATACATAACTCAAGAGGGGGCATTGCATCTTTTGATGCTTAGATGGATTTTGAAAGCACTGCTTATATGCTTGCTGGGCTTGAAAACATCATCTCCTTTTAAAGCTCTGTGTCAGAAACGAACTCTTTGGTGTTTGAGAAGTGTGCAGATGGCCTACACGCCCCTCGTGAGATGCAGAGCCCAGGTAGATGGTGAGTGCAACTGTTTTCTTTGTGGGATGTTTCCAGCATTGCCAATCTTTTGGTATAAGAAAGCAGAGTGTAGGGGAAGGGAGAATATTGTCCTAAAGAAACACAGGAGTGGATAAAGCCCAGATTTCCTTGGCTAAGCTACTGTAGTATAATTGGCTGCAGTTCTCCTTTAATGTGGCTGGCTCATGATACAGAGCCTTTGTTCTAACTCCAGCCTGTGGGTTGTCACTTAATACGTGCTGATTGAATTCTGTAGGATCCCTTCCCTTTGAGCCAAAGTACATCTCTGAAAAGGTTATCTCTGCGTGGAAAACAAACACTTCACAACGCTGAGATCCCCCACATAGCAAGGATGGCTAGACCTCGTTTTCCCCATATGTAACGGAGCCTTTGTGCACCAGTAAATACTGTATTAGTTACATTTTTCTTCTGAGCAACTGAGCTAACAATGTGTTTTAAGGTTTTGCACTGTATTAAGTTATTAAAAACTAATTTTGTGAGTAAGCAGCTGTTGTTTTGGCTCAGTTTTACCTCAGAATAATCTATCTGAATGTATTTGTTTATATTGATACTCAAGTGTTGCATTTCAGTCAGTGTTTTACAGTACAGCCAAGAAGTCCTATAACCTTTGAAGGAAGTAAAAGGCTATTGTAATTTAAAAATCCAGAGGCTTATGTTAAGCCCCAGGAAAAAAAAATAAAATAAAATCTAGAGCTGCTCAGTTACAATATATTTTGTTTAATCTTGATGGGGGCTGAGTGCCAAAGTCAGGAGCCATTTCTGCTTGCTTGTGTGTCATATCAAGTGCCTTAATTGTTTCTCTTTTTATCTCTTGAGGATAAAGCTTAGCGAAATATCTTCTGGTTTATTTTTATCGCATATCTAGCAATTGGATTTGAATCTAGGTTTTAAAAGAAGCCTTTAATTTTCTTTCTTGTATTCAGGGTGAGATGAATTAAGACAATTTCTTTGCGGCTTTCAAAGGCAGTAAGAACTTTGAGAGCTATTGTGTTCATTGCAGGATGAGTTTAACGGTTTGCTTTGACGCTGTGAAGTTCCTCAAGATATTCTTGAAGGTACTGAGCTGTTGCCTTGCTTGTGTTCTGCAGAGGCCAAGTAAGTTCCTCTTTTGCCTTTCATTAGCAAGAGCAGAAGTAATTTTTCCTGGGGGAACCGTTACTACCCTGGGGAGCAGCACCCTCTGTACACGAGGCTGTTGCCACCCCTTGACCTGCTTGATGCCCGTGGCTGAAGTGCCATTTATTTTTAGGCATGGTGCGCTTAAGGAGTGCCATCTTTGGGCTGGCTGATGCATGCTGCCCTCTGAGGTGACTTGTCCCCAACAGAGAGGTAACAGGCTATGGGCTGTGGGCAATGCCAGAATTAAAAACTGCTCCTGCCTCTCTGTGTGAGCTGCAGATCTAACTGCTCAGACACCTGCTGCTGTTTAGACTGTGTCCAAACACCTATGTATGCGTGAAGGAGCTTTGCTGACCTGTAGCTATTTAATAAATGAAGATATATCTAGTGTGTAGCTCCCTTCTATCTTAATTTCTATATGACATTTATTAAGTATATCTGTGTTCATTTTCCTTCATGTTACCAACAGAGAACCACGAAGCAAATAGAGGTAAGCTGCCAGTTTCTGATTCCTTTTGTGAAATGCCAAAAGCCTCCATTTGTTAGTCACAGAATGGCTCAGGTTGGAAGGGATCTTAAAGATCATGCATCTCCAACCCCCCTGCCATAGAAAGGAATACCACCCCCCTAGATCAGGCTGGCCAAAGCCCCATCCAGCCTGGCCCATAACAGTTAATACATACATGCCTGCACAGGTATGGTTTTTATACAAGTATCTGTAGCTCAAAACATAGTTCTTCATGTCTTTGGCAGCAGCTTGTGCATACAATGCTTTCATGCACTTCTACTCAGCGTTCCCATACAAACCAGTAAGTTTTTGCAAACCTAGGGCATCTCAACCTAGTCGCATTGAAAATAAAACCAGGTATAATGGTTGCCTGCCTAAAGGCTGGAGTAACTGCCTTGCTTGCTGATATGTCACCCAGGTGCTTTGAGGCGAAGCATCCTGGCATACTAATGCAGCCAGCAATTACTTGAATCTTAAAATCATCTTTTCTCACTTCTGACTCATACAGAAGGCAGCTTCAGCAACCGAGCAAAAAGGGGCATGCAGACAGCAGTGTCTCCCTTGCCACCTGATTTTTGCCTTCCTCCCCACGCAGGCCTCTCTCATTCGCAGAATGAGGCAGAGCCCCCAGGGGAAAAATAGCATCTAATCACATCACTGGAGGCACAGCGCTTACGCACAAAGGTACCAGAGCGAGGTTGCGCAGCCTCCAATTTTAGTTCTATTTCTGAAGCCTGGAGTACTCAAATGGCGATTTTCCTTCCCCCTTTCCCTCCTGCTCCTAAGCCTTGTTGATTAGAAATCTAACTACTCAGTGCCCGATCCTGTCATGTTTATTCATGAGTTGGGGAGGAGGAAATGTGGAAGCTAGTCCTAAACTGCAGATACGATTTGATTAGCTTACCAAGTGTGCACACAAGGAGGCATGTAAATGATGCTAAAGGGTGAAAAACCTTTGGCTGAGCCCAAGGGAGAGCTGTTCAGAGGTACAGAGTCCTCCAGGAAACTCCTGTTTATAGGAGGGTGATACTTGTTACATCTCCTTTATCTTAATATCATGTTGACTATTTTAAGAAAATTATATACTATGTCAATAAATCTCAGGTAAGAGGGAAAAAATTTAAAATACCTGTCTTAAGTTCTGTAAGAACTTTACTATCCTGCATGATGCATACAAGTTTAATAAGTTTTGTGCTACAGCCTTGGATAGGCATGGTGTAGGAGCATCTTTTGCCCCATGAGCAAAAGCATGAGGTGGTTGCATTACAGAAACTGGAACATCCCCTCTACCATTGCTTCCCCCATATTCTTCCATTTCCTAGACCTTAAGGTTGAAAGTGATTAGAGGAGAGGTAGAAGGAATGGTGCTAATCTTTTTGGTAAGTATTTTCCATTCATTGTAGTGCTGAAGTGTGATTAAAATTTTAAAGCAGGTAGCCGAAGCCTGGCATTAGTCTCTGTCTGTTGTTCGGTGATAACATTTTCCTGGATTTCTCCCAGACTCATTAAACGTCATCAGTCACAGGCAAATCTAACAAGGGCATGTTGGAAGAGAACTCTGCTGGACTGAAATATTAAGCAGCGATCGTTCGTGCCACAGACATGAGCCACTAATATTTTTTTGTTAGCCAGTTACAAGGGTGCCTCACAACCTAGAGGTAAGTGAAGGAATTCAGTGGGGGTACAAAGCGCTGGCTCTGCGGTGGTAATTAACATCTTCTGCACTTGTCCATAGCCCAAGGTAAAGTTAAGCTCAGCAATTCAGGTCAGATCTTCTTTACTGCTGGATGAAATTAGTTGCTTTCCACAATCCATGCACAGCCAGCTTCCCTTTCACTCAGTAAGGCACTGTGTATCAGTAGGAAATCACAATAGCTTTGAGATTTTTCTTACTCTGCATATTATTGCTCTGTATGAAGATCTCTGTAAACCTTAGTGTTTTCTGAGGTAAGAAGGTGGGATTTTTCCTTCTTCCAGGCACAGCTCTGCAGTCTAAGCTATGATCTGATTCATTAATTTTCTATATAGACACTGCAATGTACAATGAAGAGCTCCCCAGCTGAAGCTTGCTGTATGCCCTGTTGGGGTAATCTTTGCAGCTCACTCTGCTCTTCACAGTATACACATCCCTCCTTCTTTGCAATGTTTTCATCCCCATAAAGGGTAAGAAAGGATGTGTTTATTTTTACCTGTTTACAAAGGAATAAAAGCTAGTGGCTCTGGGTCCTGAGCTCATAACTCAGGTGCCAACACTTCCAAATGCTGATGTGTGCAAGTGAGACTGGATTTTATCTTGTGTTAAAGGCTCTGGCACGCCTGTATCATTAAAACACTAAATGCTCAATGTCCTCAGATGCAAGATGGCTTAGGCAGACAAAATGCTAGTGAAAAAGCTAACTATAAACCTGTCTTACCGTGAAACTCCATGAACTCATTGAAAATGGTTTTCTAACACCATATCTAACACCATAATTTTGTTTGGAGATATTAAAAATGCAACATTGATGTGCAGTAAATAACCTCGTGTAGCAGAGAGTATTGGCTGGTTTATGTGACTCAAGTGGGTCGATAAGTGGGTAACAGATGCATGTGACGTGCTGGAAAACCACTTAGAGACCAATAGGCAAGGTCGCTCCGTGTCATTGCTGCAGCGTGTGGCAGAATCGCAGAGCCAGGTCTCCTGCACTTGGTCCTCCAGCCAGGAGAAATGTAACCTCCTCTCCGCAGATCCATGCACACGCAGATCAACCTCAGAGTAAAGGAAAGCTCGGAGGCAGGAGCTGGTTACTATGGCTATATGCATTACTCACTCTACTTGGAGAAATCTAGCCAGCCATCTCTGTGTATATTAGCTCTGTTTGTGCATGAAGGAAGCTCGTTGCCAGCAGCTGTGTGAAGCTGCTGTGCTGAAAATCCAACTTTATTCACACCAGTCAACAACCTGGTTTTCAGGCATTTAAAAGCAGTGCATGATGAAAGCAGCAAAACTCATACAGTATGGGACTGGGTCCTCCTTAAGCCCTGCTTTGTTCCACAAAAAAGTGACCTCAGCTTCCTTGCATCTGTGCCACTACTGATGTTCCTGCTGGGGTGGAAGAAACATGTAATGGTGTTGGCTTGGTTGGACTGGTTGGCCAGTTGGGCTCTGGTATACACGATACAGGAAGACCAGCTTCTGTCCATGTTGGCTTTGGAGTCCAGCTTCTCACCAGCTGCTGACTTGTAGGGCTGTCACTGAGTTTCACCTCGTTGAGCGTCATCAGAATTGATCAGCGAGGGTAAGCGTAGCTGTGGGTGCTGAGAGATCCACAGCACAGCCAGAAGCCTTGTTTTCATTGGCTACAGATATAAATACTTTTCTTCTCTTGCTGAAGCTATCCCCTGAAGCTAGCATTTCTGTGGGGGTACCTAGCAAATGCATTTTCCTTTTTAATGTTGCAGGCTGTCTGTCAGCAGCTGTCAGAGCTGGGCACTGCTTTCCCCTTTTATACGGTGCTGCACAAAGATAAAAGCTGGGTAGGTGAGTGGGATTACCCCAGGCTGTCACCACCATGGGCTCTGGCTGAAGCTCTCGTTCCTGTCTCCAGAGCCTAGATTTTTATGTGAGTGGGAGCGATGGACTTGGGTATCCTCGAGAGGCTGTTTGTACCTTGGAGCTGAAGAGGGTTTTGCACTTCAAGTAGGGGCTGAATCTTTAATCTCGATGGAAAGTAGAGCATTTTTTTCTTCAGGCTTAAAGATTTGCCTTTTGAAAACGGGCTAGATTGTTGGAATCTGCAAATCTTTTAATTAGTCAGAGTTCAAATTAATTAGGAACTGTCATTTAAAAATTAAGCATTTGTCGCTTTTACTGAGTCCTGAATGATCTTAATGGAATAAAGCAGACACTTGAAACTTTCCATATAATTAAAAATAATTGAAGTTTTATGTCTGCATGCATATGAAGGAATCAGCTAATAATTAAGCTAAGCTTTTAGTAATGGCTGTACTTAATGTTATGTATAGCATACAAACAAGCTAAAAAATCTTAGATTGGTCCACTGTGGCATCAGAGAGAATGTAAAGTCTTACCAGGCTTCTGCAGGTTAATTTGCAGGCAAGCACTGTACTGCCTGAAATGCCAATCTTATGGGGGAGACAAGGCATGCATACATTTTCACTGGTGGATTAACCATGCCACTCTGCTTTTGTCTTTAAAAGTTTAATGCCTTAATGGTTGAGTGGCTTGCATATTGCTGCATGAAACATCCCCTGTGCTGAACCTTGGCTGCTGGGAATGAGGCAGAGCCACAGAGAGCAGCACAAGTTCTGTGCTAGCAGAGCTCAGAGTAGGATCTTCGTACCACTTCTCTGTACAAGTTCTCCCTTTTTTTAATTTGAAGCCTGATAAAAGTGATTGAATGATAGCAATTGTTCATTCAATGACTTCAGAAAGGTGGAATTGGCTTATAAAAGCTAGTAGGAATAGAAACACGCAGATGCCTTACTCGTGGTCTGGCCTCGCTATACAGCAGTATTAAGACCCTGTGTTAGTACCCTGCATGTGAGCACCCCAAGCTGTGCGTGTTTCTTACTTTAATTTAGTCAGGTTTCCTTTTCATCTAATCTCTTAGCTTCCTGGGTCAGTGATTATTCTTGTCGTGTTCCTCTTCACATTCCTAATTGTAATTCCACCCCTAAGACATGTTTTTCTCTAACTTGAATGCGTATGTCCCAGGCTGTATTTACTTAGACTGCCTCATCAGAGATACTGTGAATGCAGTAGGATGGTACGTTATTTTTAATATCCCGTAATATTTTAATATTAATGATCTGTTCCCATCATGAAGAATTTTCAGGTTTGTTTTTTGTTTTTAATTTTCTTACTATTATTTTTGAAAGCCCCTAATCCTTTAAGGCTAGGAATATACTCTCTCACTCTCTCAGCAGCTCAGCAGCTGCTGGATTCTTTTTTTTTTTTTTTTTTTTTTATTTTATTTTAGACCTCTAAAGAAATTCCAATAGACACAATGAGCACTGAATCTTGAGAAAAATGAACTGGATGCTAGTGCTTAATACGTTTTGTCAGGTTGTAAAAACATCCGAGGTGATGTGTTCAGTCTGCTGTTTCAAGGAAGGTTTTATTTGGGGGGTGAGGAAGTAGGGGTCTTTGCAGACATTAATGAATAAAAGAGGAATGAGAATGAAACAACATCCACTCATTTTATTTTTTTTTTTCCTTGCCCCTATGTGTCTGCTTCTTATTTTGTAAATGCAGAGCCAAAAGTGACAACCTCTCCTGGTGTTTTCCTTCTGCTGTGCACTTCCACAGAGTCTGAAAAGAAGAGGAGGAATTTCAGGAGCTGTCCCCTCGATCATCTTGTCCTCAGCTGAGGCAGGGAGAAAAAGGAGGTGAAGCTAAGGAAAAATAAATGATATTCATAGTTAAAGCAGAGCTGGATGATTATTATTCGGTCCCCTCTTTGAATGCGTGTGGTTAGGAGCTACCCTCACAGCTGCCTGACAGTCCTCATGTGTGCCCTGGTGCACAGGCACTCTCTCCTCATCCCATTGTTGCTCAGCTGGAAAGTGTAAGGCAGACACGAACCCAATTCAATTAAAGAGCACTGTGCATAAATCTCTCCCCCTTGCTAACGCCCTTTTTGCTTCTGGTTGTGATAACAGTGGTGGGAGACATTTAATGGAGACAGCTGGATTAAGTCACACGTTGCTGGCTACCAAAGCGTGGTTATGGCCCTGAACAGCTTTTTTTTTCTCCACATGTTATGACTTTATCAGTGGTTTAGTGTCAGACGTCTGGAGCTCAGCTCAGCAGAGCCGTGTGTGACATGTCACACGTTGTTACTACTAGCAAACAGGCTGTGAGATGAGGAACGGGAAGAGAGTGGAGGATTTTCTATCATTTGCCCTTTTGCAGCCTCCCTTTTATAACCCATATGAAAGTGCATGTCCATACTTGTTTTATAGTCCGTAATGCTCACCAAAAAGCATCTTGAAGCTGTAGTTCAAAGGACTGCAACCTTCTGGTTAAGAGAGTAATTACTCTCTTTGAACCCTACATGCATATCCTGTGATCAAATCAGTAAGACCCGCCTGCATGTTGTGGCTACGGGGCAGCGCTGGTGCCCACTGGTGAACTCTGAGTGTTTTATTATTTATGGGAAAGGATCCATACATCCGCCTCCTGATTCCCTTTCTATTCCTTCTCTTCTTGAAATAAATTCGACCCATATCCCAATTTGCATGTTTCTTTCATCACCCCAGCTGCGCACCCCATGTAGCAATAGAAAGCTGTAAGTAGCTCAAGTCTGTTCATGATGGTTTTATGGTTTCTAGCTGCAAGTAGCTGAAACTCCAATCTGTGTCCAATGTAGAGTAAGCCAAATTTTCTTCTAGAGCTGTAACTTGAAATATAATGGGTTTGTTATCTTTTGACTACGTTTGCCTGTTCTGTTTTGAACAGCAGTGCCACTTAGTGCTTTCCTTATGCTTTCAACATCTAAAATCTGATTCTCGCACATCTTAATTTTCTCCTAGATTCAAAATAAACCGATCTAACAAGAATGACATGCCATTAGCTTTTACATGGATAAAATTGCTACTCTTTAGACCAAGTAAGCATTAAAAGAGATGACCTGATGGGCTAGAAGCTCGTCTCCCCATGGAGGCTGAAACTGTCTGAGTAGGCTGTCAGACTATTTTGCCTGGTGGTTTTTCCTGGTCCACCAGGTTTTTCCAGGTCCACCATGGCCATGACCAGACTGCTTAGTCCCTTTTCTTTGAAAGGTAATCAGCCTTGTAACTCTGCGACAATAAATCAGCATGAATTGTCTGCCTCACTGCATATGTGGACGTAGCCCTTACCTTGGCCTCGATCAGTTCCTCTTTCCTAGAAATAATATCTGCTTCACTGACTTTTTTTTTTTTTAAATGAGGATAGACACATTGCAGGTCTTGTAGGGTGGAGGTGCATCAGTAATGGCTGAATGTAGGTCCTGTGACCATGCTGAAAAAAAAAAAAAAAAAAAAAAAAAAACAATGGAAATCATCTGCCCTCAAGTTCTGCAGTTCCTACTCTGAGGTTCTTCTGGTGCACACCTGGGTGGCAATGGGAGCAGAGATATTTCTGCTCTGAAAAATACCTGTTCATCAACTTCAGTATGACAAGAAGGACCAGAGTTTCCACCAGGATCAATATATCCTGACAGGCAAGAGGCAGAATAATCTATTTTACAGAGTTTCCTTTTTTTTTTCCATAGCATATTTTCATACCCCAAAATAACCTGTATTTTTGTTAAAAATTCTGTGTCAAATTTTTCAGTTAAGCCTGCTGCTGTGAGTTTGGATTCTCTGAAAAATGTCACTGATGATTTTAAAAATGTACATCTTCCTATGTTATATAAATAAAAATGCTATGTTGTTGTTGTGCAGAAACCATTGTTAGGAACCCACGGTCTCCCTAGGCAGAGGCACAGCACAGGTGACCGACCTGCAGGACAGCACTAGGAGAGGTGAGACCTTGTGTACAGCCCTGTGTACCCACGGGGCAGCAGCAGCCCTTGAACCAGGACTATTCCCAAGTGCTCTTTTGGTGAATAGGTTTGAATAGATTGAGCTGCTGGTGAGACGTTTCTGTGGGACGTGCTGGATCGAAGCCTGAGGCTTCCTGTTGGGTGAGTTTTGATGAAAATTTAACAAATTACTCAACCAGGCTGGTGGTCCTGTCAAATGAATTGCTTGGTGTTTCCAGGCTGCTGAGCTACTGATATTTAAAGTGAAGTTTCTGAGGCCCCTACTGATGCAGGCAGGGTGTATTTCCTATTCTTGCTCTGTGTTTTTTCCAGTAATCTGTCTTTCCCTCATTTACCTCATCCTACCAGATGTGTTGTTTCTTTTCTTCTTACTTCTAGACCATTGTGTGAGACTGAAGTGCCTAAAACTGTGGATGTGTACTGTGCATTTTGGCTTTGTGCAATAATTTCCAAGCATGTAATTTGACTTTCTTCATCTCCCTCATTCTTCCCTCCTCTATAAAGACACAATACATATTTCAATTACCAAAAGGGCATTTAAAATCAGTTCTGTTACGATACGATTAGCTGCTGCTGTGGAGCTGCTATGACTCTAAAGGGAGCTAAGCATGTAACCTCGCTGGAAATCCCAGCTGCTGCTGGCTCCTGCGGCAGAGGCAGTCCTCTGCAAAGGCAACGCCCGGCCCGTCTTGGCTGTGATCTTGGCTGTGGTTTTGGTCTGGGCACATAGCACAGCCTGTCTCCAAATGCTCTGGATTATTCTGGCTGGTCCAGCACAGCTCTTTCTCACTGTAGCCCTTCCTGACCCCTCCTCTCATTGCTTCTGGCATCTCTGCATTCCCACCCCTGCCTTTTACCCAAGGAGCAGCAAGAGTTCGCAGCAGCCTGGCGTGCTGCAGCCTGGCGATTCTTCCTCTGTTCCAGTCATGCCCTGCTGTGCCTTTTCAGAAATTACTTCGGTTTTAGATGTGATGTGCTCCTTCAGGAACAGCCCCTGGTCTTGCTGGGGCTGAACCTGGGCAGCAAGAATGAGCTATTTGGGGGAGCTGGGTGCAGTGAAAGGAGGGGGAGCATGGCAGTGGCAGAGTTGGCTGTGGTACAGCATCGGTTTCTAGGATCAGTTCTGCGGGGTCTGCAGAGGAAAAGTCCCTTTTGTCCCCTATTAAGCTGCAAGTGTGGAACACCATAGCTGAGAGGAGAGACAAACTTGCTTTCATATTATAAAAACATATACACATGTCTGTGTATATATACATTTACATATAAACAGGCATATAAATGTATGTACATCTCTATGCACACCCCAACCAGTTGCTTCAGAGCAGTGCCACTAGAGAGAAGGATGGCGTGTCCGTTTTGGGAGGTGTTGATGCTTCTTGTCAGTCAAGTTTTTAAGTCATTAGACCATGTCAAAAGCACAGACTTGTGCTTTTTCAAGCTTGTGGCAGAAAGTAATATCTCTGGAAATAGATTTTTAAGGACTGGGATTGTTTTTTCAAGCTTTGCTGACTGAGTTTCTTGGCTGAGGTGATCAGCCCAGCGTAGCTGTACTTGGCAAGAGGCAGTGTCTTGTCTCTGCTTACATGAATGTAAATAGTGAAAAATCACACAGTTGGCTTCCTGCAGTGGCTCCCAGCTATTTAGTGTCATGTCAATCACACAGGGTCTGTTTTCTCTGCTCTTGCAATGTTAAGTAAGTATCTCTGCGAGGCAATTATTTTTCTGATTAAACCGTCTGTGCATTTTTTTGGTATAGTTTGCAATTGGCATAAGGTAAACACAGCTACAAGATAACAAACACAAGATAGCAAACAATCCTTGACAAGGAGTCAAGCTAAGGCTTAGAGTTACAGAAGCAAAAAATTGAAAAGTTGCTTGAATCTGGAAAGGCATGAATATTTCCCTTTCTTTCCCCCTCACCTCTGAAAAATCAACCTCTGCAGCAGCAAAAACAGCTCTGTGCCTATCTTTGCCAATCTCGAAAAGGCAGGCTTTAAATGCTTGAGGCTGAAATGTAGAAAAGGACAAACAAAGGCAAGTTGTCTTACAGGAGCTTGGCACTGAGAGCTGGAATATGTTGTCTGAAGGCCTTCAGGTATTTTTAGGGCAATGCTGCATGTTGACGTGCTTTCGGACTGTTTGAGCAGAGAGATTACATCGTAGTCACGGGCTGGCTGCACCCTATCTTCCAAGCCAGGTTGCGTAATACAAACTTTAGAGAGAAGTTTATGGATTATTTTTTTTCTTTTCTGCCTTCATCAAGGCTAAAGCACTTCTGACTAGAAACTTCAGAAGCACACAATCTGGTGAATGGGCTCCGGTAATTCTAATGAAGTGCTGTGCAAATAAATGCTTGGTTAATGAGTACTGAAAAGATTAACCTGAACTACTTACATACATTATTAAGGCATTTAACTCTCTGCTTTTCCCCAGTGGTTACAGATAACGCAGAGCGGTGGGGAGGGGAACTCTTGAAAGGCTTTTGAGATATGTGGAAGTTGGGCAAAGGATGCAGAGCAGTTCTGCAAATGTGCCATTGCTTAGTTTCCGACTCAACTGGCAGTGTGGGGCGCTCGAGGTTGGTGAAGACTGAAAACTTTGTGTGGCGGGGTGAGGAATGCCAGCTTTTAGAGACAGGTATAAGAAAGCACATGACAAAAACCTTTGTTCCCTTTCCCCGCACCTCTCCAGAGCCAGATATCTTAGGCCATTTATTCACTTAGGCTCGCTCCTTACTGTTTTCACCCTTTTACTTTTCTTGGGGTGTGCAAGTCAACCCAAGGTTGATTTATCAGCGCCAGTAATCCGCTCTCCAAGCACTGTCAGTCTCACTCCCAGAAGCTGCACTCCCCCATTAGAGCCCTGACCTATTCAAACGCCCTGAAGATAGCATAATGACCATGTGTCAGCGGGGCAGAGGCACCAGTGACAGCTCTCAGAGGTTGCTCATCTTGGCAGGGGTGGGAGCAGAGCCCTGCGGGAAGCCTGGCAATGCTCCCGAGTCTGGCTTCTCACCTCCTGCGTTTTTGTGCGTTTGGCTTCTGCCACCACCGGTGGTGGTTTCAGGCTGCTCATGCAGGAGAAGATATTCTGGTGCAGGAGTCTGCATACCGAGAGCAATAGATCATGGATTTCAGTGGTTCAAAAGGCACTTGAGCTTTGTTTTTTTTTTTTTTCTGGCTTAGAAATTATCTCCCTTGGCACGCTGGCATAACAGCAGGTGCTTTCCATGGAGAAACTTAGCTTTCCTTTATACTATCAATGGTAAGCTTTCAGATCACACAGTAGCTATCAGCAAGGAATTAAATAGAAAAAACTACTTTAAATGATTATTCTGAAAAAAGTATGAACCGGAGCTACTCCTCCCCCTCCAGGTTGCAGCTGTCTGTGCCCACTGCCCCGCACTTGCACTGGAGCAGGAAGGCTTGCACAAACTGGGAAGTTTCCTGTCCAAATAATGTTAATCTTCCTGTCATAAACATACTTTAAATGTACTGTTTAGTGCCAACTTTCTTGAGATGTAGCAGAGTGCAGCTATTTTTAAAGCTAAGTTTCTCTCCCCCTCCAATTTTTCTTTGGGGCATCAGCAGCTTAAATAATGGCAATATAATTCTTCACAAGAGAAAACTGATCTGCTGCTACAGAATGGGCCTGGATTTGCTGCTGGATGCAATGCTCGTGTCTTCCTTACACCTGTATGGATGGCCTTTTCTTTCAAATGACACGCAACTAGTTCATTTTGACTCCTTCCTGTGTGTTCTTTAAACTGAGTGAAATATCAGCAAGGAGCAATGACCAAAAAAACTAGAGGTGAATAAGAAGCTCTGATATCTTTGGAGGGGACAGTCTGTCTGCTCACGTAGGGAGCAGCCCAGAAGATCATGATTCAGAAGACACTTTCTCCAAGCACCCGTATCTTTAACTAGTGTTCTTGTATCTCGTCGGTCTGGCTTTTCAGGAGTGCCAGTTTATTACAGAGCTTGCTTTATTGATGGTAGTCTAAAGGCCAACTTTGTCAGAACACACTGGGCTGGTTGCTTTTTTCTAATAAAATAGAATGGGTTTCATAATTAGGCTTTTGCAGATCCCAGGTGTCACCTTTACTATATAAAACCACACTATTGACACTATCTGTGTCTAGAGCTGATAAATGTTATTGCATTCTTTTCTAATATGTAATGTCATTAAAAATAGGTTTGTCACAAGCACTTCTTATCAAAGGCCCTTGTTTCCCCAGAAACGGTGACCAGCATTAACCTTTCTAAAAGTAGCCTCTGCGAGAGACAAGTGTCTGTGGTTGTCACTGTTACAAATTTAATCTAGGGAAAATGTTCAGTGAATTCAGCTTCTTATTAAAACAAAGCTAATAAACTCCAGAAAGGCAGGAATAATGTGTGTAGTGCCAATTTGTGTCAGGCCAGCAAGGAAAATAAATTGATCACGTTTGATCTTGTGTTCCTTTTTAGTGGCATATACATTGGAAGTGCCTTGGCATCAGCTGCAGAAACAGTTGTTTGCAGCCCCTAAAAAGAAAAAGGAGGCGTGGGAGAGAGACTGTAGTGTTTGTGCAGGACTGATAAAAGCTGAATACTTACAGAACAAAAAACATGTAAGTGATAACAGAGTATTTGCAAAAGATGCCGCCTTCTCCCCAAAGTAGGTGGTAATGGGAATATTGTGTTTGGAATTAAAGCTGCTGGTAGTAAAAGAAAGGAACTAGAAGGAGAGAGCATCAGC